TGCTGATATTATTGAAGAAGTAAAACAACTTGGAGATCAGCGGCCCAAAATTCTACAGGAAGCATGTCTTGTAGCAGAAGGCATGGGAATTTTGCCAGAGTTACCAAAGAAGAGAGGCCAGAAGCAGAAAAGATGCCATGATGACACAGCTGAGGAATCACGTTCTACCATCTCTGAAAATGATCCAGAATCTTTATTCAGAAGGAATGTTTTTGATGCAACTTTAGACAATGTTATCTATGGATTAGAGTGCAGATTCAAAGCAACCAATAACATTTGATTTATATTCCATTCAGTCCTAAAATATGTGACACTAGAGCCTGAGGAACCAAACATAGCTTTTAAATGTCTACTTCACAGGTATCCTACAGATCTTTCTGAGAATTTTCCTTGTGAAATGTTGCATCTGAAAAAAATCTTCAAATCTACTTTTGGAAAAGAGTATGAACAACCCCCACTTATCTTATTAAATGAGATTTAGAAAAAACAACTGCAACTAATTTTCAGTGCAGTGTGCATAGTCATACGGATTTTTTGCACACTACTAGTGACTGTAGTGGAAGCTGAAAGAAGATTTAGCAACTAGCACTTATCAAAAACTGCAGGCGTTCTATTGAGGGACAAGAGCAGTTAAGCCATCTTGCTATGTTGTCTATCGCGTGTGAACTTGTAAGAGAAATTGACTTTGGGGAGATAATTCATGATTTTGCAATGAAAAAGGCCAGACACATAAAGCTTTAAAGTGAAGTGGTTTATTTATAAAATGTTTGTAGCCATGTTGGTCCATTAGAACAAAAAAAATCAAAACATCAACTGGATAATGCCATTATTAGGACCAACAGCCAAAAAATTACAAAATAGTCAGCAATGTAGAATGTAATTTTTTCTTTCATTATTCATGAGATTTTATGTATGTGGGTTGGTGTGGGTGTGGGAGGGGGCCCACCTTACAAGTTTGTACTGGGCTGAAAGAAATTATACCTGGGCCCTGGGTGTGGGAAGGTGGGTGTGTGCATGTGTGGGGGGGCTGCTTCTGTGCTAGGTCTGGGGTGCTGGCTGGGAGTAGGGGTTCTGTGATAGAAGTGATATGAGAGGTTTCTGTGAATGTAGGAAGTTTGAAAACTACTATGAGTTAAATTTTCTCAGGTATATCATCTATCCACACAGTCACTAAAATTCAAGGAAATCTGGAGCCAAGACCTGGGCATACAAAATAACTTCAACTAGCATGTCTTTATATCATGGGTGGGCAAAATGGCAGATCTGGCTTACATCTGGATTGCATTTCCCAACAGCCCCTCTCCATGTCACTACAGCTGGTCTCCATAGAGACCCCAGTAGCTGCAACACCATGACAGTGTGGGGCCAGGGTTTTCATGGAGGCTGGCAGGGTGCACGGCTGGACGGGGAGCTGCTCCAAAGCTTGGTCTAGGATCTTGCAATGGTATCAGCATGGTCTGGAGCTGGAGCAGAGTTATGATCCACTGCCTGCATATCACTACCCCAGTTGTGCAGGCAACAGATTGCAGTTCCGCCCCAGATCTGGACCACACTGTCAGGACCACAAAAGCCGAGCCCTGGAGCTGGGGCTGGTCTCTGTGGAAGCCCTGGACCTGTTTTGTCACAGGTCTGCCACTCCTGGGGTCTCCATGGAAACTGGCCACAGTGACGTGGGCAGGGGCTGTTGAGAAATGGAGCCTTCCACAGGCCTGATCTGGCCTGTGGGCTGGACTTTTCCCCTCCCTTGCTTTACATCCACATACACAACTTTAGACATGGGTGACTTGTGCCTCTTAAGTCTGGGGAGGCACCTGCAGAAGCCGGAGGTGACGGCGGCAGAGCTGGCGAGTGGTGGGGATGGCCCTGTCAGGTACTGACGGCCCCACCGTCAGTACCTGCCCCCCACCCCCCTTGTACCATCCCTACACATCTCCTATGAAGTTAGATTCTGTACTGAATTGGGGGGGGGGGCAGGTAAGGGTGTTATTCCCCACTCTGTCCCCAGAGGACTGCAGTGGGGTCTGCCTGTCCTGACCACTGCTGCTGCTCACTCCCTGTATGGGGAGAGTGGTGGGATAAGCACCCTCCCACCCCTATGCCAGATGCTGGAGGGAGGGAGGATTAACTCCCCTCCCTTCCCCCTTGCCTAAGGGGCCTTGCTCGCTGGCCTCTGGCTGGGCCCCTGACCCTGCTGCTGGAGTTGTGGGGGCAGGGCCCTGATGGGCCATCAGCCCCTGTCCTGGTGTCTGGGGAGCGTGAGTCTGTTCCTGGTGGGGGGGGCCTCAGGCAGGGGTCAGAGTCACCATGGATTGCATGGGGGGGGGGGCGAGGTGGCACTAGACATAGTCCCCCAAGCCCCACTAGCATCACCACTGCTCGCCATGTACAGTTTGTGGTAGCTTTCCCCGCCTGCAGCATGCCCTGCCACTGGGAATAGGCTCATGCTCTGTGACACCGTGACAGGGGCTACAGCCCCTGTCAGGTTTGCTCCCCCTTGCTGCTCCCATGCTTCATGCTGGGTGGCCTCTGGCCCTGCCTCTGTCCCTGCCACTGGAGTGGCGAGGGGAAAGCAACCCTGATGGGGGGCTGCAGCTCCTGTCCCGGTGTCCCGGAGTGTGAGCCTCTTCCTGGTGGGGGGGGCCATACTGCGGGGTGGTCCAAGCTGCCATGGACTGCACGGTATGAGTGACAGTGGTGCTAGGAGAGTTTGGGGGGTTACGGTTCCCTCCGAGCCCTAGTGCTGCTGCCATCCCTGTGTAGTCTGTGGTAGCTGTGACCCCTGCTTGTGGCCCCTCTGCCGGGAAGAGGCTCATACTCCCCAGGTACCAGGACAGGGGCTGCTGCCCTTAGGTGAGGGGACAGGGAGGACAGTTATTCCGCTCCCTCTGGCGTCTGGCCAGGGGGCAGGGAAAGGGCTTATCCTGCCGTTTGCCCCGCAGGGGGAGCAAGTGGTGGTCACAGCGGGCAGACCCCCTGTGGTCCTCCAAGGGCAGAGCAGGCAGAGGGGGGAATAACTCTCCTCCCTCCCCCCTGCATGAGGGAGCAGTGTCGGCTGGCATCTGGCCACAACCGTGCCGCTGCAGCAGTGAGGGGTGAGCACCCAGCAGACCCCAGGTCAGGTCTGCAGGACAGGGAGGGGGGAATTCAACCCCCTCCCTGGCCAGTTCACTCCAGGCCTCTGCCCAGGGCTGGGCAGAGCTCTGCCACTGGAGTAGCCAGTCCAGTCAAGACATGCAGGTCATGCTGGTGGGATGGGAGGGGGCGGGGAATTAATCTCTCTCTTGCTTTGTTCTGGGGCCAGTGTTTGGCTAGGCCCCCCACTGCCTGTCCCTGTTTTGGTTAGGGAGCAGAGAGTCAGGGTCAGCCCTGCTCTGCTGAAGCAGAGAACACAGCCCAGAGAGCATGCTGGGGGACTCTGGTTTAACTTAAACCAGGAAGGGGTTTGGGACAGAAGTTGCATAAACTGGTTTGAGCTCAATCAGTTAACTCTGATACTATTTTCAACCAGGATTATCTCAAGCTGATTTTGGCCGTTTTGAAACTGGTTTATATGCACTGAACTTATGTTCTGTTACAGGTTTAAACCAGTTTCTGATCACTTAAACTGGTTTATGTGTAATGTCTGTCCCTAGCCACAGTGTCCAGGAGAGCAGTGGCAGTAGTTGCTGTTTCTGTGCCCCCCCCCCAAGTTGGCACCTGGAGCTGGTAGGCTGGTCTTCTGTCTTATTAACCTCAGCAAGATAAAAAATGGTGAGGCATCTGCAGCAGTAATTTCTGTAACGTGACATTTGTAGTTGGAAAAGTATGAGGTTGGAATTTAAATTATGCATATAGAAATGCACAATTCGTATATGCACAGTTGGAATCATAGAACTGTAGCCCTGGACGGGGTCTTGAGAGAGGATCTAAACCAGCTTCCCACACTGAGGTAGGAAAACGTATGCATAGACCATCCCTGAGAGCCATATCTCTAACACATTCTTAAAATCCTTCATGCAAAAAAGGAAATGTAAAGCATATGTATGACTGTAAACAATTAAATGCATCTGTGTTGAAACTAAAATGTAAATTCTCTGTTGAAATTTCAGAGAGGAAATCATCACATGAAATCATTTAAATCACTGAAAAGCAATGTCTCTAAAGCGTGAGAAAAAGCCCTTGAAAATTAAATGCTACTCTTTTTGATGTAGTTTGTGCTTGAAATAGATGCTGTGAGAGACCAAGCTTAGGTTAGAGATCTGTGCCATGTTTTAAGTTGAAAGCTAAATGCAGTCTTAATTACAGGCAAGACAAGGTGCCTGAGTAAGGCAGTCTCTTCCTTTCTCTCCTCACTTTCTCACCCCACCCCACCCCACACGCAGATAACTACAGATGTGCTGCCAGATCTGCGGACACAGCCTGATTCTCATCTCATTTAAATTAATCAAAATCAGGAATAGTTTCTGAAACCACTGTTGTCACCCTAGCATAAAGCTAATGGGAGAGGAAAACCAGGGCAGGGTGGCAATACAAATGCCCGCCCACCCGCAAACATGCAAAAAACGATGTAGCATAGGTAGCTATATTCCCACATCCATGACCATGCATTCTTACACAAAAGTGCAAAGTAATAGACAAAAACCCATTCAAAGACATGGGCTCACATAGAGATGCACACACACAAAATTCATGGGGAAGGGTGCTGCTCAGAGTCTGTTGATCAAGATACAGAATCCAGATAAGCTCTGCACCGCTGCAGCTCAAAACTTCCTCTTTAAGTGGGGTGGCTGGGGTTTTTTTCATATTTTTTTATCAACTTCCTTCCTGCTCTAACTGCCAAAGCTCAAAGCTGAGAGCTGAGAGCGGAGAGGGACCCCAGACGCAGACGCTAACCAGTGAGTACGAGTTCAACTCAATGTGGGGTGGGCTTGGGGAGGGAGAGAGGGAAAAAGAGCCTTTCCACTCTATTACCAAGCATGAGTGTGTCTGTTTTTTGTGGGGGAGGGGACATGAGGAATGTGAAAGAAATGCAGCGGGAGTGGCCTTGGTTGTACCTGGAGGGGAAGTTAGGGTGCAGCAATGAGAAGGGAGAAGTGGCTTTGCAGGGCGAGCTCAGCTTACATGGCAGGGTCAGCAAGGCTGGCGAATCCTTAGGAAGGGGCAGTGGCCGAGAGGGGCTGTCTCCAGGATCCCTGGTACTGCCAGGCATTCTCCAAAAGTCTGCTCAGGCAGTGGTATATTTTTACCTTCCAGCCCTGGAAAAGTGGGCTTGGCTAAGGGAGTATTATACTCTTTGTCATGGAAAATTTCATTCCATTCCCTTGACCGCTCCCTTTCGATCATGTTAGGCAAGTCCAGCAGTTTGTTTTTAAGTGAATGTTTTGTTCTTGAGAAGAGTTTGGAAAATGGTGTTCCTGCAACCCCCTGAATCCCCGGAACAGAAACCAATGCAGCACAGCGAACCACAAGGGCAGCGTTTTTTTTTTTAAACTTACTGCATCTGCTCAGCGTGCTTCCCTGCATGCTTTACAGAGCACCGCAGGAGGGGAGCCTCAGACGTCACAGCCTGGTCAGCCCCTGGCAAAACTGCTAATAAGGGGTGACAGTTAGTTGGTGCCCAGAATAAAAGGGCACTTTTTCACTTTCTGTTTTGAAGCCGTCTCTTTCTGTCAGGGGCCCCCTAATGCTGTCCTGCTTTTTTTTTTCCTTTCAAGAGAAAGCACCGAAGCCTCATTGGCAATGGTCTGAAATCTAGAGCCCTTAAAGAGAAAAGTGCTGAGGGAAAGGGAAGAGTGGGGGGTAAGAAGGGTAGAAGGACTTCTGGATGTACACCTTGCTGGGGTTGTTTGACCCCAGTACTCTTTCCTGCCCATGGCAGGGGGTCGGACTAGATGATCTACTCAGGTCCCTTCTGACCCTAGAAACTATGAAACTATGGAAATGGACAAAGTAAGAGAAATTGTTAATGGCAGAACAAATTGTCTTTAATTTCTTTTTAAAATATTACCAGGCTAAATTTCCTTGGATTAACTACATTTACTTTATGGACAATATAACCCTGAGTCCTGAGTTTCAGGGCTGCAGTGATAGAGCAGTTAAAATATCTTGTTATGGATCCTTAGGCATGAGGTACTGACCTAGTGCAGGGCTGCTCAACCCCTGGCCTGCAGGCCAAATCTGGTTCATAGAGTCATGGGGTCAGGCAGCAGCAGGGAAGTGGTTGCAATTAATACTACTATTACCCTTCCCCCACTGGCAAAATAGCAACTCTCCCTCTGTTCCCATGCATAGCCAAATCAGGGCTGGGTTGTTGCCACGTGGCCTGATCAAGGCTAGGCCTTGCCTGCCCTGCACACTGGATTCAGCCCACCAGCTGTACCTGGCCCATGGATGGACCTGGCATTGGCCATCTGGCCTGTGGTGAAAAGTTTGGGCACCACTGATTTAGTCCAGGTGTTTTCAACCTTTTTGGGTCATTGTATCCCCGGTGGCTGGTTGAGAAGGCAGGAGTCCCCCGGCAGCCAGACGAGTGTGTGTGGGGTGTCCCCCAGCAACCGATTGGTGAGTTGGGGGGCTCCCCAGCAGCCAGTTGATAAGCCGGGAGGGGGGAGATGGAGATGAGCGGCAGTACCAGTGATGGCACCTGCTGCCGAGTACCCCCTGAGGCCATCACAAGTACCCCCAGGGGTATGCATACCCCTGGTTGAAAACCCCTGATCTTGGTAATTCAATTGTAAATGGGTCATCTACAATTGACCTGGGGAGTCCAAAGCAATTTGGGTCATCTGCAAGTTGGCTGGGGAGTCCAAAGCAGCTGGACACAATAACAGCCTTGTGTGCTGGGCACTATGACTCTCCTGTGTGCTGTGTGTTACAGAAATTGGTGCGTTTCAACCATGTTAGCTCAATGACCTGCTGGATTTGGGTGGATCTGTGACTTTTATATTTTATTGCACTGGGCCTCACCCAGCAGGGCTTGCATGGATGGACACACACATACACAACACCACACAAGTCAGAGGGAGCAGTTACATATGAGAGCTTTGATGTGATCTGTTCCATAGGTGGCTGGGGTGAATAAGCATATGCACATATGTGAACAGAAGGTCAGCCCTATTCTCACTAAAGACCTTGGGAGGCTTGCAAAGTACCTGGAGAACATACAGGCCCACAGTACCTGGAGAACACATAGATTTGGGTCTCACCTGATCTATCCAGTAGGTAGGCACACACATGAGCTAGAATATTACCTATTCCATGGGATCTAGCTGGTGCTTTATCACTTTGACTCATTATTAGAGTGACCTAGTCTGCTATTCCAGCTCCCCAATGGTTTTGTTGATTTCTTAGAGGTTTCAGAAGGGTTCCCCAGGTAAGGAGCCCTTTTCACTGCTACTGAGGGATAATTTTTGTTCTGTTCATGAAGTGAGAGAGAGGGAACGGAAGCAACCAAAGCATTCAAAGATGGATTATCTACTTGCCGTCTCCTTTCATTATGCCTTAGTCATTGTCTCTTTCATTTCCTCTTTCTGCCATTCCCCTTATTATAAATCATAAATCTCCTGTGAAGGGATGAGGTGGCCAGGCAGTGATATTCTGGGGTGGAAGCAGTGTAAAGTGTCAGAATGTGAAGGGTCATGATGAGGGAAAGGGTATTAGAGTTGAAATGGCCCAAATTGGCAGCAAGAACTGTGTGTCAAAAACTATTGTGGCCACCACATCTCATCATCATGATCTTTTCTTGCATCTGGATTTGGGCAAGTTATAAGAGGGATAATAAAAATGTTTAGGGTTTTATGAGGTGCTGTTCATGCTGAAACTAGAGGATTAATCATTTCTTTCCTCACAGTATCCTGGCACAGACCTTGATTTCCCTTTTTGTGAGGACAGTCTGAGGTTTCTTTCCCCATAGAATGCAGGGACCCTTCGAGACTGCATATACTACATAGAGTATAAATATACTACATATAGGGCACATATATATGTTGCCCTATGGCGACATAGTTACTAAGCCATGCTTTAGTACTTCCAAAAGGAGGTACTAAAGCATGGCACAGTAACTGCCTGTGCTGTGCCATACGTGCAGTGTAAGAGTTATTTTTAGAAGCTACTTTGTCATAGCGGCACACTGTAACAGGGGAGTGCACCACTATGGCGAAGTAGCTGCTGGTCACATGTAGACACCTGTGGACGCTGTGTACATCACTACAGCAGCATAACATCATTTGTAGACATGCCCATAGTGTAAATAAGCACAGCTGCACTTAGACCTGTCCCTTAGGCTTTGAGTTTATCTATGGTTTTCTCTTTGGTGACACCCTCATACTAACTCTATCCTAGCTTCCCAGGCTTAATTGTTATGCAGCCATATATCACATGCATCATACATTAGAGTACACATTTGAATCTAGTTGCAGATGGTCCTGCTTTGAGCAAGCAGTTGGCCTAGATGACCTCCAGAGATCCTTTCCAACCCTAATTTTCTATGATTCTATGGATCTTCCTGTCCCTCTACTTTTAAGCCTTTTTAGCTGTTCCCTGTGCCCACCAAATTCTTTTATCAACATCATTTGCCTGGAATTTATCCTTCCATCTCACCACGGTTATGGCTGACTGAAACCGTCAAGTTGAGAATGGGCAAACATTGCCATTGCTCACTTAGAGAGGAGAAGATTTAGAGGGGCTGAGAGAAGTTTTAAATAAGAAAAAAGAAAATGAAGATATATCAGTCACTCTTCTTTATGCTCTTCCATGACAGAAGAATGAACAATTGGTTGTTAAAATGAATAGCCAGAGTATTTAGAACAAATCAAGGACAACTGATATACGGTGAGAGAGGATTTGGCCAGAATTTTATTTGACCCAATGGTTGGGTTTTTTAACCTTCCATGAAGCATCAGAATTTGGTCACTGACAAATAGGGTAAGAGAGTAATTTGATTCACTAAGAAAGATCTTACATTCTTATCTACTTGCCTGACAAACTCATCCTTCTCTCCCAACCTTTTTAGTCCACGGATTGGCAAACTGTGGACCAGCATACAGTAGATCGGAAGTGACCAGCATACTGTGGACCGGCAGTCAACTTGTTTTTATACTTAGTAGAAAAAGGGGTTGGCTGCTGGTCCTCAGTAAGCCGGTCATTTCCGGACTTCCGGTCTGGCAGCCAACCCTCCTGCGGACTGGCAGCCAACCCTTTGCGGCCCAGTACTGGGCTGTGGCCCGGGGGTTGGGAACCTGTGTCCTACTGATTCCACTCATTCCCTCCTCTGACCACCCATCCACTTGTTTACCTATCCTCTCTCAATCCTTTGCTTTGTCTCTCTCTACGCCTCTTTGTGAAGGCACCAGTCATGTTTCTTGCTCTCAGAGAGTGAGGAGCTCCTGTCTAAGCTTGTGCTGAGAATACTCTGCACCAGATTCAATTCTTACTTCCTCTCCTTTCGAGAACTCTCTCTTCTGAGTCCCCACTACTTAGAGCAATTCTGCAGCTGGGACAAATGTTGTCATAGGAACATGCCACATGCTTCCTTCCTGTGCAGGATGTGGACCTGATTAGTGCACGAAGTGAACTGTTTTCAGGGGTGTGCAGCAGAGAAACTTTGGGACATCTGCAACAGGATTGAGTAGAATTCATTTTTTGAGCAAACAGACTTTATATATTTTGTTTAATATATAAATTCACTCATAAAATGTTGTTCATAAAATTCTGTGTTTGTTTCTCAGTATTATTTATAACCCATTCAGGCAGGAAAGTAAGACCTTCCCCTTGGTGGCAGTTATTTTGCTCTATGCAGTGCCATAGCAAGGGGTGGGGAGGGGGCGAGCGGGGCGAAAGTCCCAGGTACCAAAGTGAGGGGGGCCCAACAGGCACTGCCCAGCTAGGGTGGGATGTG